GTTTTTTTTTGGGGGGGGGGGGTTGTCATATCCCCAGTAACTCTTAATGCTTTCCTCTCTGGTTGTGTTACGTATGCTTGTATGCCTATATTTTATATATACCTTATTTTAAATGCTGCTTTAATGTTGTAATGTCTTGGGGATCCTATTTGGGTGGGAAAGGCAGCATAGAAATGTTTTAAATAAATGTGTGGTCAGCATGGTCTGTAAGTTTATAGATGTTTTACCACTTTGTTGAACATGTCTGTGTGCATCATGCCTGTACATGGAATCAATAGACATCAGTTCATTATTCTGTAATGAAATATATTGACTGCTCCATTTTGAATCACTGAAGCTTGCAACTAGTATTTCCCTCAATGTCTCACTTGCTTACAAAATGAATTGCCTTGAAGTAGTAGAGTGTAAGATGAATATCAAATGCCTGTTACAGCCATACTTTTTATTGTTAGCCTTGTTATTGTTCAACTGAAGGTTCCTGTATTATTCCAAGATGGGTAGCTGTGTTAGTTTGTAGCAGTAGAAAATAGCAAGAGTCCAGTACCACCTTAAAGACTACCAAAATATGTGGCAGGGTATGAGCTTTTGTGAGTCATGGCTCACCGTGAAAAAACTGAAGAAGTGACCCGTGACTCACGGAAGTGAAGAAGTGAGCTGTGAATCACGAAAGCTCATACCCTGCCACCTGGTTTTTAAGGTGCTACTGGACTCTTGCTCTTTTATATTATTCCAGAGTATTTATAAACTTTTAAAAGTGCTTTTATCATTAAGACTTGCCCTTAGTTTGTGTCTAAACAGAAGTTTTCTAAAATTCCTGTTTGGGGCTTCTGTACTAAACCATGCGTGTTAGGTGCCATATAGCATGCAATTGTAGAAAAAGTGGGGAAGGGCCAGAGCACCAAGTAAAAACATGACTAAGTCTCTGGAAACCTTTTAAAGGCCTTTACATCCAGGGTAAAGGGTGTTTTTTTGCTCTTGTGAAGTATATAAGAGAGAAACTTGTTGTGCTCCTTAGGTCTTTGGCTAATTGAAAATTATTGGAATTGAAAAATGAGTCAAGCATTATTCCATTTGATTGTTAGGCTTTTTCTCTCTGTGTTTTTTCATTTGTGGAAGCCACTGTAGTATGTGCTACTCCAGCAGTGACAGAAGATCCAGAACATTTGGGAGAAGCTGCTGCTTCATCCACACCAGTATTACTAGGCTTGGAAATCAGAGCAGTGCTGCTTTGGGGAGTAGCTGCAGGCAGGATGCCTACTGAATTTAAAAAAACAAACACTTGGGAAGCACATTTGTCAGCAACTAATATACCCTAAAATTAACATCAAAGAGGATCCTTCTCAAGTCCTAATTGCAGTCCCCCCCCCCCCCCAAAAGCATAAAAAAAAATTAATTGGCCCTGGGGGTTTTTTTGTTCCCTCATCTTTTATGTAACTTATTTTGAAATGGGCTGCAGGTAGCACTGTTCCAACAATGATTATGTTTATATGGTGAAGGGTTATGTGTGAAATGCTGGGTGAAGCTGAAGAAGAAAAACTAATTTAGTATTTCTGTGCTTGTATGTATTCCTGGAAGGTGTTAAGTGTCCATGATGTTACATTGTTCTTGTGCTGTTACTGGTATAAAGTCAAGTGCCTTCAATGCTAAAGGCTCAGAAATTTTCTTAAAACCAACTTCATGTCCTATGCAAGTGTTTTTTCTACAACCTGCATAACCAGTACTTTGTAAAACTTGTTTACGCTTCAACTGTACATATTGGTTTTTTAAGAAAATATAGTATTTTTATTTAGGTACCTCTAGAATTGAATTCTAGTCTTGTGTGATGCATTGTAAAACAATACATTTCTCTTTTGAGTACCATTACAGTTGTAAAAAGGTTTTCACTGGTTCTATTTTTCTACTGTTGCTGAGAAGCATGTTAACACAGACTTTATCCTACATATAGTTGGCATTTCAAATAAATGGCTTGTCTAGAAAAATGAACATGGAATTGTTTTGATTTAGTCACAAGGGACAATATTGTTGTACTCCTGTCTGCACAGTACTAAATTATAGAAACAAATTTCAGTGGAAGACTAGAACGTATCTTAATTACTGTGCATAACTGTTAAGCCCTGTGTCTTGAAGGAAATTCTACACAGTCCTGTATTACATAGTTCTACAGTTAACTTCAATATTAAAGGCGTACATTTTGCAGTAACAGATGCTTTTCTCTAATTCTAGCCCTGACCTGGATAGCCCCGGCAAGTCCAATCTCGTCAGATCTTGGAAGCTAAGCAGGGCCAACCCTGGGAAGTATCTGGAAGAGAGACCTTCAAGGAATACCATGGCTTGGATGCAGAGGCAGGCAATAGAAAGCCACCTCTCTGAAACATCCAGTCCCACTAGAGGTTGCTAGAAGTCAACCTTGACTTCCAGGCACACCACCACCCCAACCCCCCCCCCCCAAGAATATATCCAATTTCCAACATGGCCTCATCTGTGAATCCTTAAAGCTGGAGACTGGGATCATGAACAGACAAGCCAGATCTTTTTATAAAGCTGAGAAAAGTTCCAGGTTTGCAGAAAAATCTGAAATAGCAGCAGTGCCTGTAGCTTTAAGAAATGAATGCCCTCAGTGGTCACTCTGGGAGTTGATAGGCAATCGGCCTTCAGTCCTTAGTTTTTGTCACTCAAAGGCAGTGCTGAGGAGGCAGGGCTCTTACAGGGCTACTTTGGCCTTTGAGGGAGGACTCACTGGGGCCTGCCGTGATGGCAACCACTAAGTAACCTGCTGCTGTGCAACTTGCATGACTCACCCAGGACTGGCGGCTTGCTACTGTTCAAAAGCAGCCACTCCACAAAAGCCAGTGGAGTGGAGTAGTTAAAATTTCAGACTAGGATCTGGGAGACCCAGGTTCAAATATCCACTCAGCCATGGAAGCTCGCTAGAGGCCCTTGAGTCAGTCACGCACACTCAGCCCCACCATACCTCAGAGCTGTGAAGATGAAATACAGAAGACGACAATGCAGGCTGCTGTGGGTTCCCAGTGTAGAGGAAGATCGGAAATAAATATAGCTGGAGATGGGGGGATGGTTTTTTTGGGGGGGAAGGGAGGAGCCTACGGGGGCTTTCAGGGAAGGAAGAAATAGTGGGGGAGGGAAAATGAGAAGCCTCCTGCAAGTCCTTAGGTTTCCCCCACTGGTCCATATATCTAATTCTCAGCATGGCCCCATATGTGGATACTTAAAGCCAGAGACATTTAAAGTTTAAACCCCTGCTCCCTGCGGCTTTTTATGGGGAGCAGAAAGCAGGGGTTTCAGCTGAGTGCCAGGGACTGCCACTCGGCTGTTTTCTTTAAATGGCTCCAAGCTGTTTTTATTAACTGCACAAACTGCCACGAACTGCACCAAAATTCATGGAAGTTCATGTTCTTCACCAACCAAAATTTGTGATGAACTTTAGTTTGTTGGCCAGTTTGTGCCCATCCCTAACCTGTATCCATAAGAAAGATCTCAATGTATCTTACTGAGGTTGTTAGCAATCACAATACTGCCAGCCTTCAAACCTTGGTTTGTCAGTAAAAGGCAGAGGGCCTTCCAGGGCTGTGTTGGCCTCCCCATCCACCCCTGAAGGGAGGACTCTGGGGTCAGGTCCAGCAGCAACCATTGGGCAAGTTCCCACCATGCAAATCACCTATGTGCCGTTGTGGCTTCCAGACAATTTGATGCCACATAACTTGCCTAGGCCAGACATGGCCACTACAGAACTCACACAAGTAGCTTCATACTGCACTATTTTTGCCTCTTGGGCAGACTTTTCCCAGGTAGCAGCTCCTAGGTCAAAGGAAGGAGGAAAACCTGACAGCTGGTACAGTAGTAGTTAAAAATCTCAGAGTAGTATCTGGGAGATCTAGGTATGAATCCCCACTCTACAGTGGAAACTTGCTAGGTATCCTTGGGTCAGTCACACATAATCAGCCTAAGCTACCTAGGAGAGTTATGTAAACTGCTTTGGGTTCCCAGTGCGGAGAAGGGTCGGAAATAAAGTAAAAAAGCTGAAAGGGTCAAATAGAAGAAAGGTTGTTTGGTGAATGGAAGGCACAGAAGAAAGCATGGAAAGACTGTATGGGAAGGTGTCCAGAGGTAAGAAAGGACATACTGTGAAGGAAAGGATACAGGGAGAAATGAAGTGACCCCATCCTACAAACCCTGGCAGGTTCCTTCTTTGTTGTAGCTAATTCTAAACAATGGCCCTAGAATTCAGATTTTTTTTGGGGGGGAGACCCAAAATAAAGCCATGTCTTGATGGGGCTCCTTCCAGAAAAAACTAAAAACTGGAAAGGTTGATAGGGATTTATAAATCCCCAAACCTGTGAAGACAGCTCTTACAACAGTAAATAACATCTCAGCCCCATGTCCCAGCAGTTCTCTCCACCCACTGCTACCAATTGATCTTGGGCTCCTTTGCATTCCGAACACTGCCAGT